TCCTCCTCCTCCAAGCCTCCTTGATCTGGTCTCCAGAGAGTGTGATTCACTTGGTTTCTTTCTTTCAACTGGGAAAACAAAGCTATGTGGCACGGTCGTGTTGTACTCTCCACCCTTTTTCTTATCAGGAACGCCCTTGGACTGGGTTAATGAGACAACACTGCACACGTTGTCAGATCCCTGAAGTCCGCTATTCGAGACATATGTTTTGGCGTCTGCCCCTCTACCATGTGCAGGGGTCCCTTGGTGCAGCATCCAGTACTTCACCATGCAAGTCTTTGTCCGTTCCAAGTGACTACGCCCCCGCCGTCTGAATCACACGAACTTGCCCTCTGTGATCGTGTCCAGAGTTTACCAAACCGTTTCCATCTGGATCTGTCCAAACCAACTTGATCACTGCTGTCCTAGACCGACCTCCATCTAGAAGACAGTGGCGAGGGCCACCATCCGGTCCTCTGATATTGTCACCCCTGCTGTTGGTTCGTCTCCTTCTCCCTCGGATTTTCAACCGAAGTGATTGCCCTCGGTGACTCGTTCCGAAATCCCGGTGAATCCTGTTATTCTCTGCAACACCACCTCTCCAGGATCGCTCACTGGTCCCGGCAGTCGTCCTCTACACTGATGGTTCTGTTGACCCCGCCACAGGTAGGGCCGGGCTGTGTCTACATCTCCCGTCCTGCCCCTGAGCCTATCAAACTGTCTCTCGAGTTTTGACGCATCTCCACCAGGCTGGAACTAATAGCCTCCTTGCTGCCCTTCTCGCTGAGGCATTTGCTGGGTTACGATTCCAGGTCTGCTCTCGACGGGATCGCATTTGGATCTGGGGAAAATAAGGACCTCATCCTCCGAATACGAGGGTTAACATCCACACTTCAGGATGCAGGCCGCCCTGTGACATTCCTATGGATACCCAGTCATGTCGGTATCTTGGGGAATGAGGCAGCAGATGACCTTGCCAAGACTGGCTGCAACAAGGCCACACCTGACTACGTTGTTCCTCGAACACTCTTACAGATTAGGACCCAAATCCGCCGCAAACAGAGAGAAGCTCGGGAAGCAGCCATCCCCCTGGACTCCCCGCCCACATGGTACGATGTCCTCCGTAAACTTCCTGACCTCTCGTACGTCTACGGGAAAGGGTCGCGGAAGGGGGACGTGATTGCTGCCCGTATCATCATTGGGTATGACTTTGCTTGGGAGATTGGTATCCCCACATCCCCTGAGCAACGCTCTTGTGCGTTATGCAGAAGACCCGACAGCCGCACCCTTATTCACTACCTCCTAAGATGTCCCCACACACAACGCTTCCGTGACGCCTGCTGGACCACCACTCCACGACCCCCTGACGGAGACACGATGATCCTCCCAATACTGGCCAGATATTTTGTAAATAATATTGATTATGTGTTAAAGGAACATCCTTCCTTCCTTAGGCTTTAGTAAGCCCCTTTATAATATTTATACTGTATATACTTTTCACACTTGCCAGATGATTCTGGTGTCATTGTACAGGGGTACCTAGTGACAGCACTAGGATCCCGCTTCCTCTATCAAGGAATAAACAATTGAAATTGAAATTGAATACCATGAATCCCTTTTTTACGTACAACAAATACCACTGGAAGTCATCCCTTATAGTTCCTGAGAAATTTGCAGACAAGGTCTTGAGAATTTCAACTACCAAAATTTTCTGCCACTTTCTCAAGCAATATTAAAATGAAGAAAGTGGTTCAAAGTACTAGCCCCGTCCTGTGTAAATTTCAGGTGCCAGTGGCCTTTGTCCTTAAAACTTCAGAAAAAAATTGAGGAAGTTTTCACATATGACTTTTCACTCATAAATCATAAAGCTAGGATTCCATTCACACGTTAGTAGTTGCATTCGTGTTAGCGCCAAAAATAGATCACACTGAATTGCACACGGTTGTTTCCATTGGCACGGTTGCGTTAACGTTATGCGTTTGCAGTACATGCCAATCGCTCCCTGTAGCAATTGAAAATGCAAATGCGTGAATGGAATCCTAGCTTTGGCAGTAATATTGTAATACAGAACCCAAACCCTATCTTTAAACTTTCTATGAGAATTAAAAATACATGGATTAATTTATATAACAGGCTCAATTAAACAATATCAATTCAGATCAAAAGATTATTATATTTACACACACACAGTAACTAAGGAACACATGGATGAAGAAAAAATTCTGTGGTAACATGGGGAGAATCTTGTTTTCAGCGAAAAGATGCACTGTGAGTAATGAATATATGGCAAGCTATGAGAGCTGTACACAGTGTTGGCGTTGCACAGGCAGCCAGGAGGGCAAAGCCAAGTGGACGAGACCCCAACAGAATTGCCAGTAACTGAGGCAAGAGAGGTTTGTATACACATCCAGCCATCAGTACAGCCACAATGGGTCGCACAGCAGCTGCTAGGTCACTCCGCCACCACAACCACACAAGCAATGCCATGTTTAGGTGATGCACCTGTCAACAAAATAGATATCAGCATATATATATATATACAGTATATATATATATATACATATATATATATATATATATATATATACATATATATATATATATATATATATATATATATATATATATATATATATATATATATATATATATATATATATATATATACATACATATATATATATATATATATATATATATATATATATATATATATATATATATATATATATATATATATATATATATATACACAACAAAATTATGTGGGTCATATAATCTTTCAAAATATATAAAGAACACTGTAGAGTGACTTACTAGACTAATGTTTGCATCTAGGCTAATCTGAATATATTTCCAATCAAACTCCAGGCCACGGGCACCAACCCAGAGGGGAAGGGCCCGGGTCAATAGGAGATCAGCAGCAGCCCAACCCAGACCAGTGATCAGTATCTTGATGTAGCCAGCACCTGGCACCCTACCCATCACAATGCTGAGTCCCATCACATCTCCAAAGTCGACTGTGGTCTTCACCATTTCCTAGAAGAAAAAAAGGAAATATACAGTAGATATAAAATAAGTATCATTAGCCAAGGGGTCGACGTGATTCGAGGCTTTCTGAGCTATGTTACTCGACCTGCTGATCAAATTGGCTCCCAATAAATTAAATTAAACCCTCAGGACAGATATCCATTAGAACTGAGGATGATCCATAATCCTGATGGTTACATTGGCTTAGGTTACTGCCTTTTAGCACTTCCTGTACTCTACAGCATATCTGACCAGACACCAATTTTATCGTAAAACTTACTGTAGCCAAGCTTGCTGTTTCTGGTGGTCCATCAGATGTTGGAAAGAATGTAGCCAAGAGGAGCATTTTACAGAGCTGAGTGAGCATGTACATCCCGCCCACCTGCGCACACTTCCAGAATGCCCCATACTCTGGCCTGGAAAAGAGATAATACTTATATATAGATCTCATGTACTGTACTTACATAATATACTTATAGAATACTCAATACTCAGAGCTGCTTGGACAGATAAGTAATTGTAATTATAAACATCATTTATGTAATTCTGTACAATTCAGGAAACAGGCAACAAAATTTGTGAAAATGTACAGTACAGTACAGTGTGTGTGTGTGTGTGGATTATGGTATTTACTGTACTGTACTATGATTATGCAACTTTGGTAAAGGCGGAGCAGACGGATAACACCAGAAAGAGTTGTTTGATTTTGTTAATTTTTTCCACAGATGTTTTTTGGATGATGGTAAATAATAAAAATAATATGACAATGCACAGAACCTTACAGAACATAATCTAACCAAAGAAACCAACTTAACCTTACCCTAACTTCCGAGCCGGGGCAGCATATTAAATAAAAAAAAAAAATACTTATATATATTTGGTACCAATGAATGCAACTTTCTTGAAGTGGCATAGTCTAACTTAAAATTTTTTGTGGACATTATAGTACACTCGGACTGAGCTGCTCGGTTGTTGTACTGAAACAAAAAGCAGACGACAACGCGCGCCAACACAACAGATTTTTCGGTGGAAAAGTTACAGTAAATAACTAACATCTTTGTGTACAATGCACAATGCATATAGAGACATTTTAGTGTCAGATGATCACTTTTCCCCTTATTTTAACCCATAATATCCCTCAACCTTCACACAACCTGCCCCACTACAGGTTAAAATTCGTGGTAGGACCAACACGGAACTTCAAAATTCTTTTTATATAGAGAATGAGAAAAAAAATACTTTATTCTATTATGTTTCTGTTGCAAATTTGTATTTTTCGAATATTTTAACTGATATGACACCCAATATTGGTTGTTCAAAGTGGGCAGGTCTTATAAGTAGAGGAAAAATGTGGGGTAAAATATTTAAAAGAACACCAAACAAAACCTTTGAAAGCCTTACCCAACCTTTCTTAACTTGTAAAAAGGTTAATAATTGCTTACGAGTTTACGGGTCCCTGCTCATCTGAACACTGAAAACAGCACCACCATCACATACTAAACACCAAAAACACGAATACGGTGCTTTTTAAAAGTTTTAGGGGTTTTACTGGCTAGGAAAGGTTAGGTAAGGTTTTCAAAGGTTTAGTATTTTACCCCACAATTTCCCTCTACATCAAAGCCAATATTGATGGCAATTGGGAAGTCATATCTTCACGGAGGCTGATTTGCGACAGAAATGAAGGTCAGATTCTTTTGAATCAACACAAAATACACCAGGAAAACTTAATTTTGTTAGTAGTTTCCGTTTTGGTCCTAAAGCGAATGTTTACCGAGAAAACTATAAGAAAATACACATAATTAAAAAAGCAAACTGTCGTATCGTGTTTAGCTGCCCAAGCAGCAAACGAGCCGATCAGCAAGGAGGGGGTCCGATTAATTACCCAAATGTCCCAAATGTACCCAAATGTAGCCGCAATGATGTCAAATAATGGTCCTACATGAATAAATCGGACTGCCAATCACTTCTCAACTGGTATTTGGTGTCACGAAGTCACAAAAAATTGGTAAACTTAATTTAATCTGAGTTAATAGATCGAGTGCATGTACCTAACCTAACCTAACCTAACCTCGACTAGTATTTGGTGTCACGAAGTCACAAAAAATTGGTAAACTTAATTAATGAGTTAATAGATCAAGTACCTAACCTAACCTAACAACACAACTCAGATTAAATTAAATTTACCAATTTCTTGTGACTTTATGACACCAAATAATAATCGAGAAGTGATTCACAGCCCGAATTACACTTGTACGACCCTCATTTGACTTCATTGCGGCTACATTTGGCTACATTTGGGTGATTACTCGCTCCCTCGGTACATGCACGCGATCTATTAACTCAGCTTAAAGTAAGTTTTCCAATTTTTTGTGACTTTGTGACACCAAATACCAGTCGAGAAGTGATTGGCAGTCCGATTTATTCATGTAGGACCATTATTTGACTTCATTGCGGCTACATTTGGGACATTTGGGTAATTAGTCGGACCGGCAAGGAGGTGGATAAAGGGTAACCGGATAAAACCCCAACGGACAAAACCCGTCTCATGTATAAAATATAAAATAAAACACTTTTATGTTTAGGTTAGGTTAGGTTAGGTTAGATTAGTGTTGATAAATGACAACCCCGTTGGGGTTTTGTCATGGAACCGGATAAAGTTAATGAACGTGGAAAAAATGAACAACTGGGTGTTAACCGTCTGCTTCAATATTACCCAAAATTTCTAAATTAGTCTACTCCAGGAACCTATAAACGAATACTTTCAAATTTATTTGAACTCCTAGTTCGGATGGCCATTATATAAATGAGGTTACACCCTCAACAAATTCCAGAGCCAGGACTAGCCAGCATCCTCCACTTTTTAACCCAACAAATATATAATCTTACGAGCCATATACGGGTTTAATATTGACTATGTCAACATACTTACATCCCAGAGTATTTGTAGGTCAGGAAATACGGCCCATAGGCCAGGGCAATACAATTTCCAAAGTGGAAAAACGTCATGTTGATCCTGATAACAACCTTCGGTCGGCTCCAGCCTCCAGCCCTGGTTAGGTGTAGAGGTTCACACTCACCAAACCCGAGGTACAAACCCCTAAATCCCGAATCCCTAAACCTTTAATTCGTCATGCAGTTTTACATTGATTAAGTATGTATAAAAACAATCTAGGTATGCCAAATAATGGTTAGTAGTATATAGATTCCACCAATCAACAAAGCCAACAGATTCTTATTCCCAGTAAAGGTTAATTATTACCCTTCTCACTTTTCAGCTTAGCACTAACGAACCCGCTGTACGGGCTAGAGGGCGGCAGGTAGAGTTTCTCATATTCTCCCGCCTGTCAACTATAAACAGCGGCTTTTTTTTTTTTTTTACGGGAATTAGCCAACCCGGGCACAGGTCAAACGACCCACAACGGAGCCTGGGGGGCGAAAAAAAAGAACGGAAAGAAATTGAAAATATAGAAAAAAAGGTTATACTGTATTAATCTACACCACGAAGATGCCGGAAAACCAGCTTTTTAAAGTGAGACAGATTGTAAGAGCATGGAAACACAGAAGAAGGCAAAGCATTCCACAGTTTGGCTGTGTGAGGAAAGAAGGAGGTACTATAACGGGTTATTCTCGTGTGACCGACATCCACAGAGAAATGGTGGGCACCGCGGGCAAGACGTGTGTTACGAACCCACGGCCTTGCCGGCGGTACACAGGATGCCAAATCCACTGAACATTGCCCGTTAAAGTACCTGTAAAAGAGAGAGAGTGAAGCAACATTGCGGCGAAGAGAAAGGGGAGAGAGATTGTCGACTAAAGGAGGAGAGTTAATAAGACGAAATGCCTTTGATTCCACCCTATCTAATAGTTGGACAGAAGAAGAGCCACCCCAGATATGAGAGCAGTACTCCAAGTTAGGACGAATGAATCCCTTATATACTTGGAGCAACTGCTCAGGAGTGAAGTAGCTACGGCATCTGTACAGAATTCCCAACTTTCGGGAGGCAGCTTTAGTTATACTAAGGATGTGTGATTTCCAGGACATATTGGAGGAAATGATCAATTATGGACTACCCACCCATCCCATTGAACACTCTTAGTAAAACGAGCATTAAAAGGTTACAAACAGTACAAAATATAGCCCTCAGATTTATATATAACATAAAATATACAGACCAATCAATAATGAACAGCTACACAAGAGAGCAAACCTCTTAGCAATCAATGTAGAAATACACAACAAAGCTGCAAATATTTGGAAAAAAGTGACTGAACTTAACACAGAAACATATCAGAACTGGATAAATAATATAGACAACGAAGAATTCCAAGAACACAGTTGGTTAAATCAGCCAGGAAGAAAGTAATTGAACCATGGTGATAAATGTGTTAGTCGCGGCCATATATACCAGGGTTCAGAGTGACGTCACTGAAGCTTCATTGAATCATTTAGATGCCTCATTGAAGCATTTAAAGCTTCGAAACACGAATTCTTGTTATACGTGTACCAGAGTCGCTTTTTTTATTTAAGTATTTTAATGGAATATCTTACGTAAATGAACAATAAAGACACTGAAAGTGAAGAGTTACTGTATATCAATGGCTCTCATGGCCTCAACTCAGGGCTAGTAGCGCTTCTACACGGACTCATGGTCATATAACCGACATAAATCAGTATATACATTAAAAGTACATTAAAACAAATCAAATTTATTGTCCAGCTTTAACTTTAAATAACATTTAGGGAATAATATAACGAAAAAAAAACATAAAGGTATGGCGGGTATCGAACCTGAACCACCACGTATGGTAGGCAGGACACTTATCCACTACACCTCAATGAACGTGTAAAATATTTGTACTTTAACTATTACTTATATTTCATAGTCCTTGTCCACTCGCTGAGCTTAAGGATTGGAGTAGCTCGCCCACAATCCAGAAAGGTACAGATGTTGGGTGGATAATAATAACATTACTGACATGGCTGGACGAATTGAGAGCCTGAGCTCTCTTAGTGGCGCACTAATTGCTGATAACTTTTTTAATCGAGTTCCCCGAGCTTTAAGAATTTTGTTAAGGTTTGTGATAGTAAATTCATCGTGGTTCAGTGCTTAAGGCTCCTTGCTGTTCATGGTGGGCCAGGTTCTATACCCGGTACTGTATAATAGTTTTGTTTTATAATTTTCGCCAGCTTACTAGTAGTTTGGGTGGTTGGTCTATCCAGTGTTAATACAAGAGAAAACTATGGACCGGGAAACCTGCCATGTTTGGTAGTGAGGGTCTCACTGAATAACACCCTTCTCACACCTGTCAGGGCTGAGGCTCGAACCCTTGACAAAGTAGATACGCAGTACTGCTGCACTAACAAACCCCATTACGTATATGTTTATATTAAAGGATTTGTAAAACAGCCCAAGAACATTTAAAGTGAAGGACTGTGGTCACCAACCATCAGATATGAAGACAGTATTCTGATTGACTGATTATGAATGAAACATTAGCATTGAAAATGATCATATCTTTTTTAGTAGTAATACAGTAATATCATTATTTTAACCTGGTAGTTACTAAGAATAATACTTGCCTTAGGCTGGTATTAATTTACATAAGACGTCACATTAAGACTTTAAAGACACGATTTTGACAGACTTATTGATTTTTATTGGAAATATATCACATGTACAATAAAAACACATTATGGATAGTAGAGTTGAGCACTTAGAGGCTTTATTAATACATTATACTTCATTTGTAATACATTACCAATTATGTAGCTACAAAATTGTTAACAACAGCATTATACAATAAAGTACACATAAGAGTATGAACTACATATACAAGTATATTTTATAGTGCATAATATAATAGAGCTACGAGGATAACACAGGAAGCCAGAAGTTGTGGTTCTCAGAGTTTTGGATGTTTTAAAATTTTCCTTCTGAATTACGTACATGAAGTCTAGGGGGGGGGGGTGGATATAGGAAATCCTCCAACCCAATTGCAGTGGGAGATGCATCCCCCCATGGATCTTTGCCCTTGCTTACACACTTATCTCCTAATCCTTTATCCTGGGTTGGGACAGATGTAAGAAGGGTGTTATCCAGTGTAACCCTATTAAAGCTGGACAATAAAAGTCGTAACAAACAAACTGCTGTAACTACTGTACATCTAATATATGACAGCCAAACCAACATGGATGTTACTTCACCAGATGATGAAGATGTTGGTTTGGTTTTGAAAGGTTAAGTTAGGTCAGGATGATTAAGAGAATGAATAATTAAATAATGTTAGGTTAATCTGGATTAGGTTCAATGTGAGTTTGCAACCTTTGAGATTTTAAAATTATCTCTAAATTTCAAACACATGGAACCCCTGAGTTATTTTGCTCTATCATAACAATATAAATTTCAGTCATAAATTAATTAAAAACTTACTAAAAATATATACAGTACTGTACTACTGTTCAAGGAACACGTCACAAATGTTCACTCCAAAAAAAAATGACTAGAAGTTCATTGCACATTGTATTTAAAATCTAAATGCTCTCAACATGGCATTCAAGGATTCTCTATATAACTTGAGTAGCTGAGAAAACTGATGGTAGTGTATAATTTTCCCATATATTGACAGGGATCTGACAAATGAGTAACATAGTTTGGTACAAGCCATAATGTATACTGCTTAAAAAAAAAAATATGGTTATCTCTGAAAATTTTTTTAAATTTTTGATGCATAAAAATTAAGATGTGACAACAATGTAATTTAAATATACTGAAGAATAAAACTAATCATACTTAAGTACCATGTAAAATATCCAGTCAACAAATCGATTATAAAACCAAAGTATTTTAATAAAGTTAAATCATTTTCAACTCTTTCTTATTCAAGTAGTGGGATAAGATCATCAAGCTGGGGTAAGTAATAGTCTGCCAGCAGTTTGTGCTTCTCCTCATCAGAGCTGGCAGCCCAAGCTTCCAAGTCTTTCATCTCTGTAACACCACTCAGCACTACCATGGTGTGTAGACCACAATTTTTGCCAAAGAGAATGTCAGTATTGCATCTGAAACAAATATCATAACAGTTTCAATTCGGGTAATATTTCCATAATGCTGGGAAATATACAGGGTGAGCATAAAGTCTTTCCCTGATTATGAAAAATCATATCTCGAAGACCATTCTAGATAGAAACATGAATGTTGTAGCATTGTGTAGACAAATTCATGGATTTTTTTTTCATGCATATTTTAAGCTGCAAAAAACTGTATGTTTGTACCTAGCATATGTTTTGTGTAATAAATGTTTGTAATCAGGGAAAGACTTTATACTCACCCTGTATATGACACTCATTAATATTCCAATACAGGTATCCGTCATTTAGCGATCGTTTAATTGGTGATAATTTGGTTCAGCAATTTAAAATTTTTAACACCCTTTGTTGTTTAATGATACAGTATGCAATTTTGTTTAGTGATCTTTGACTCACTGGGAAAAATTAGGGAGGAAAGTCTGAAAAACTGGGGATTCTGTACTCCAAGTGCACATAATTACGATACTGTACTGTAATGTGGCGTAGAAATAAAGAAAATACTGTACTGTATAGTACTGCATAGCCATTTGACAATCATTCACGAGACACAAGACAGAGAACAGCTAAGAGATGCCAACGCTGTTCCTCCCAAGCTCTATCCTAACTGCCAACCACTTAAGAACTGTTTATTCCCTTTACGTTTTTTTTTATTTGCACATCCAGTATGAACGATTGTGTGTGCATGTAACAGGGTAAAAGAAAATGAAGAAAGTTACAAATATCTATCCAAAATTACGAGGTGAACAATAACATAGCCCACAGCTCAGCATCACCCACTCTGAGTGCTACTGGGTGATGAGTTGGCCAGTCGGTGACTGCTACACAATTAAGTGCCATCTCCACAGATAATATTTCTCGTTATCCCTTGTTTAGGATATTATTCTCTTGTTTCTGTTCTCCCAGTGATCTGTTTTTCAGGAACGCATCCGAATCGCTAAATGACAGATACCTGTACTACTGTACTATGGTAAGGTGCATCCTTTTATATATTATACTGCATT